TGGGGGGGGTGGGGGGGGGGGGGGGAAGTAAATTCCCTTGCTAATAATACATTCCCAGGATCCCAGGACATATTTGGTAATTCTCACCTTAAAAACTATTTGAAAGTACTCAGGTTTTCAAAGAACAGAGGTTCATTAAATCCCTAACCCCTTGACTAATTCTAGCCAAATATATGTTGCACCAAGACTACTATGCTAAGGAAAACATTCAGGAGTAGGTCCTTTCCTTACATGACTGGAATCAATGGCTCCTCAAGAAAGTTTCCATTATTTCCTTAGTCTGTAGACTTCTTGCAATGTTTCTGTTATTCTCGTTCAAAACAAATCTTGAAGCATTTTAGTGTTTCAGCCGATGAAGCATGAATATTGATTTGCAGGATAGTTTTCAGTTACCATCACCCCTTCACCATTAAGAGCTGGGCTTTCTCCCTGCAGGAAGCAGGCAGCTCAGACTGGTAAATGCGATGGGTCGCTGCGCTGGGAGAGTGGAGATTTACTACCAGGGCACCTGGGGGACAGTGTGTGATGATTCCTGGGACTTGTCTGACTCCAACGTGGTTTGCAAACAGCTGGGATGTGGACATGCCATTCATACAGCTGCCTCCGCTCATTATGGAGAAGGCTCAGGACAGATCTGGCTGGATGATGTGAACTGCTCTGGGAATGAATCCGAGCTCTGGGAGTGCCCTTCCAGGGGCTGGGGGCAGCACGACTGCAGGCACAAGGAGGATGCAGGAGTGCTCTGCTCAGGTTTGTTGTGTGACTGCTCCTGTGTGCCTGGGTACCAAGGATTTAAGGGAGGGGGGGTCACATTTTTGGGGAGAGCTGAGAATGCGAGGCACTCTCCCTGGCTGTCTCTGTCTGTCTCGTCCTTGCTTACAAACTGTCAGCAGTCCATCAATACAAGGATGACAGTTTTCCAGCACATAGGGCCTTGTCATTTGAAAGATTTACGACATGTTTTCTTTCGATTATAATAGGCAATCTAGAAGGTGATGGATAGAGTTAAGAGTCCAAGTGGCTAAACAAGGGCTAGAGCCTGAAATGCCAGACCCAGTGCAGTGGGGCTAAGGCAAAGGGACCAGCCAAGGCAAAGGAGCGGAAGCCAGGAAGGCTGAGACTCCAATAAGGGGATGGAGGTCTAAGGTGGCCCGGTGGCTTGGGCTAAGTGCCCATTTTTGTAACAATTGGAAACACTTAAGAGGCATGGGCATGCTTGTAGGGGAGGTTCAGAGGCTGTGATTAGCGAATAAGACAATAAATTTCCTGGGGGACAAGTACGGGCTAGGAGGACCAATGAAGGGTGAGGACCAAAGTCAGTCTAACAGAATCTGAAGAGATCTGTCTGCAGGAGGCCATCGTGAACTTTGCTCTAAGGCTCTGGGGCCAGCCTCCCTTTCCAAACTTTACTAAGAAAATCAAGGCATGGCATATTGGAGAATAGAGGGAAGGTAACAATTGTCAGGGCAGAACAGGAACAGAGAAGAGGGGGTGCCATGGCTGCCCCTGGGGCAACCATCCTGTTACAGTGACCAGCAGCAGTCCCAGGCCAGAAGCTGCAGATTGTATTATATCAATGGAGCAATCAGATAACAGAAGAACACACACTACTTAATTTGACCTGGATATACTCTTCCTGCAAAAGGTAATATCTCGGTTCTGATAAGAGTGCGCTTATCCCAAGTTGCCCTGCCTGAACACGACACCCTTGTTCTAAATACAGGTAAGACATCATAAGTGTCATCTACAAAAAGGGCCATTCGTGAATCTAGACATAACTGAGGAGGCTAATCTGAGGATTCACATGTTTAACTGTGGATGTGGCAAATAGTTCCAGGAGAACGGACAGGATCTTGGCAATGCTGGGTCACATCTCTTTCCTTTTTGTTTCTCTGCCTAACATACCAAGGTCATCATACTATCTGCCTGGCCATATTTATCCTGATACTCATCAGTTCCCACCTGATAGTATTGGAGAAATCTTTGGACTTCCCTAGTGTTAGAGTGGGCAGTCAGTGATGTCTCTAGCTCATCTATAACTGGTTGTAAATGTTGGGAAATATGATGTTCATAGTTCATCATTCCTTGTCAGGTATTAGTAATGGCCCTGCAGTGCCTAAAAGAGTTGCTGACCTTTGGAGTCATCCTCTGTGGCACCTGTATACAGAAGCATACAGGAATATTAGTGATCTCCAGGGTTTTACTCTTCACATCTCTCTTCATGTCCTGTGCATTTCCTTCTAGAGTTCATGGACCTGAGGCTGGTGAATGGTGATGATTGTTCCGGTCGCCTGGAGGTTTTCTACAATGGGACATGGGGAAGTGTTTGCTCCAGTCCGATGGCTCAAGCCACTGTGGACATTGTATGCAAGCAGCTGGGCTGCGGGAATGGAGGAGAATTTGCAGAAGACTATTTATATGGACAAGGTTCTGGCCCCACGTGGCTGGACCGTGTTCAGTGCCGGCAGCAGCACAGCTCCCTGTGGGAGTGTCCATCAAAGGCATGGGACCCTCACTCATGTCATGACCGGGGAGAAGAGACCCACATTACTTGTGCTGGTAATTTTGAGACTTTTTGCACACAAACATGTATGCAAGCACACTTGGGCACAATCATGCATATACGCGCGCACACAGTCCATCACATGCTCAGTTAAAATGGTCTGATTTTGCTTTTCCTTTTCTTTTTAATGTATAAAATTTTATATTCCAACCAATGAGAGAAACATTTCTCATTGGCTATGAGAGGACTAAGAATATGCCATTGAAAAGAAACTTGAAAGTTGATTACAAATGAAGCTGGTTTTCTAAAGTGGAGCCACTTAGGGAGATTCAAAAAAGTTTCCTTCCTTAGTGTGTCATGTTTGCATCTGTGTGGGACTTAGACATTTTGGCATGTGCAGCCCTACATGTGACCAGGCTGTGAGGTTTCAGTGTATATTAACTTTCCATCTGTGTACACGTGCACATTTCTGTTCTGCACACACCTGTGAATATAAAGTGTACATGTACAGAGAAAATGGAATTTGGATCAGAATTTTTTTTGTCACACCAGGTCTTGTGACACTATGTCTTGCTGAGGATTCCCAGAATAATGGTTTAATTGGAGCTAAGGGGAAAGTGTCTGTGTGTGTAATTGCCCAAAGCTCTTTGTTAGGGATTACAGTTACTGCACATAGAGAGAGTTGCCCATAGAGCAATACAGCTAGCAGGGAGCTGCAGACAACTGCATAATAACCATTACAATCTGAATACAAGAACATTTTATCTATTATTTTAAGCAAGTTTAAATTCATATTGATAGAAGAGTGATATTAGGATTTACCCTACTTAGAAGTTCTACTCTTCCCCATGGCGCGTGCACATATTAACCAGTCCATTTAGAGAATGTATCCTTTTTCTCCCTAGGTAAAAAAGAGAACACAACTTGGACACGGTTTCTTGCATGTCCAAACTCCACAGACTGCACAGGTACCTCTGCCTTTCCCTGCCTCTCCATTTTACATTTCTAAGGCCGTTCCCAGCTGTCTTAGTAACGTGAGGTTGTTGTCTTTCTCAGACAAAGAGAAGCTCCGCATTGTGGGAACAGAGGACAGATGCTCGGGGAGAGTGGAGGTTTGGCACCACGGCTCCTGGGGAACGGTGTGTGATGATTCCTGGGACCTCGCAGATGCCAATGTTGTGTGCAAACAAGGGGGCTGTGGAGCTGCTGTGTCTGCCCTGGGCGAGGCTGCTTTCGGGGCGGGGACTGGCCCCATCTGGCTGGACAAGGTGAACTGCAAGGGAACGGAGTCGTCTCTGTGGGACTGTTGTGCCGAGCCCTGGGGAAACAGTAGATGCCAGCATAAGGAAGATGCTGCTGTGATCTGCACCAGTGAGTGACAGTTTTTTACATCCATGATGCAGGTTTGGAGGTGGGTGGGAAATGTGTTTCCTTGGCTAGATCCTCCTGACTGGCCACAGAATAGACCCCATGTCCTTGATGTAGCTGTCTTATGGCTGGGCTGGGAAAATGCCTTTGTGGGCCCAGTTTTCAGAGGCATCAGCCCATGTAGCACCAATCCCCACATATACATATATACATGCCCCATTGTGCTGCTGTGTTATTCATCCCTCCCAGTGCCAAAGGGAATGGACCTCTTCTTGATCACCAGTGTCTCCACGTAACCCAGCTTGTTCTTTACACACTGTGTGTTTTGTGCATGGGCTGGTTGTGTGTGCCAGTTATAAGCAGTAAGATCTTTACAGTATCCTGGGGTCCTGCTACCTTTGCCTGTAGTTGGTGTTTGGCTGTTTCCAACACTTGGTTTTTGGTCTTGAGTTTTGCTTCCAGTCTGTATCAGCTCAGAGGTACTCGCACATTTGTTGCTGTCTTCTTAGAAGTAGTCTCTGTTCTTGAGGATAGCCCTCGATTTGTGGCTTTAAAGACACTACCCTCTGGAACAGATGAGCTGAAAGTATCTGACTCCAGCTCTGCAGCAGACCTCACAGGTTCACCATCCGCATTTCCCAGAAGGAGGCAGAGTGTAGATGTGGTGTGCAGGTGAGGTGTGCAGACACACAGGCTATGTCTACACTATTTCCTAATTGTTCCTCAGAGGGCTGCTGAGAAGGGGACCCTAGCCATCAGCTCCCTGTCAGCTTGCATCAAATCCAGAAATGAAGCAGTGATAGCCCATTGCCCCACCTCACAGTCCTCTTCACTGGGTCTCCACATACAAGATTTTCATTTTAACTCTCGGAGGTGATATTCTCCTGGTAACAAACCTGTCATCTCTGTCTTACTCCAGACTTCAACTCTTCTTCTCTCTTTCTTTGTAGATGGGACAGAGACCACTGCATCCCCACAGAAAACAGGTAAAAAATGCCCTAGTCCCAGTTGGGTTACATTTCACTGGTACTGAATTCCCCGAGGGATAACCTGTAACCTCCAGCCTGAGGGTATAAAAAGATGTGGCCATCTGAAGTGGATCACCTATGGTGGGATATGTCCTTTCACCGCTGACTTAATTGAGTGAAACACAAATCTACCATTGTCAGGCATCAGTCAGGGGCCTTGTATCCTGTGTGACGAGTGTTGTGTTTCTTGTGTTTAGAGATCATAGACTCATACACATTTAGAGTTGGGAGGGACCTCAGAAAGTTATCCAGCCCAACCCCCTCCTGCACACAGGACCATCCCCAACTAGCTCATCACAGCCAAGGCTCTGCCCAGCCAGGTCTTAAAAACCTCCAAGAATGGAGATCCCACAACGTCTGTGGGTATCCTGTTCCTGTACTTTGCTAGCCTCCTCATGAGCAAGCACCTTATAATACCAAGCCTAAACTTCCCTTTCTGTAACATGAGACAATTTCTCCTTGTTCTGTCATCTGGCAACACAATCTAGTTACACCCTGTTTCGAACAACCCTACAGGTTTTTCAAGACTGTTATTCCTCAGTCTTCTCTTCTCCAGACTAAGTCAGTCCAGTTTCCTCAGTCTCTCCTCAGAAGTCATGTCCCCTTGCTCCCTGTTTTTGTCACTCTCTGCTGGATTCTCGCCAATTTGTGCACATCCATTGTGTAGTGGGTGGCCCAAAACCTCACACAGTACTCCAAGTGTGGCCTCACCAGTGCCAATTAGAAGGGGAATATCACATCCCTCAGTCTGATGGCAATGCTTCTATTAACGCAGCCCAGTATGCAGCTAGCTTTCTTTGCAACAAGAGCACACTGATGGCCCCTATTCAGCTGATTGTCTTCTGTAACCACCGGGGCCTTTTCTGCAGAGCTGCTGCTTAGCCATTAGGTCCCCAGCCTTTACCAGTGCATGGGATTGTTTCATCCTAAGGGCAGGAATTTGCACTCTTCCTTATTGAACCTGATGAGATTTCTTTTCATCCAATCCTCCAATTTTTCAAAGTCTCTCTAAGTCCCTGCTAAACCTGCCAGCATATCTACTACTCCCCAGAGCTTGCTGTCATGTGCAGAATCTCTTCAAGTGCACTTCATCCCATCTTCCAGGTCATTGATAAAGATATTGAACAAGATTGGCCCCAGGACCGACCCTTGGGCTTTTCCACACGATACCAGCTGCCAACCTTACATTGAGCCTGATGATCCAGCCAGTTTCCTATCCACTTAACAGTCCATTCATCCAACCCATGCTTCCTTAGCCTGTTTGCAAGAATGTTCTGGGAAACAGTATCAAAAGCCTTGCTAAAGTCAAGGTATACCACATCCAGTACTGTCCCCCTGTTCATAGAGCCAATCATCTCACCAGAGAAGGGACTAAGGTTGGTCAGGCATGACTTGCCCTTGGTGAATCTACACTGATTGTTCCTAATCACCTTCTTCTCCTCCAAGTG